CCCCGCCGCCTCCGCCGCTCGCCGGCGCCGTTTCCGGCCGAGTCCGGCCGTGGCCTTGCCACCAATGGACGCGGCGTCCTCTCCCCATTCGAACGCACCCACCCGCGGCCCCTTTTGGCCGCCGGGCGACGATTCCGGCGAAGTCCGGCGCCCCCTCCGCCGCGGACGCCCACCGGAGCCCCCAACGCCGGCTGCCGACGTGGCCGACACGGGGCCACCCCCTAGGTCACTGAACCGTGGGCCCTAGGGGCCCGGCCGGTCTATTGACTCGGTCAGCCAGGCTGACTGGACCGGCCCCTGCCTATGACATGGGGGCCCCACCCCCCAGAACGTTTAAAAAAAAGAAGAGAAAATAATAATAATAATAATAATAATAATTAACTAAATTAATTAATTTAATTAATTGAGTTTAATTAACCTGATCAATTAACTAAACTAATTAACCTGTTAGTTTAATTAAACTGTAATTAGATTAACCTAAACCCTAATTAACCTAACAGTGTATGACAGGTGGGTCCCACGGGACCCACATGTCAGTTTGACCCAGGTCAACCGCACTGTTGCCTGCTGACATCACACATACGTCATGCTGACGTCAGCATTTACTATTCTGGATAATGTTGAATTAAATAAATAATTAAATTCCAGAAATTAATAAAATCTTTAGAAAATCATATCTTAATCCGTAACCCGGATTAAAATATTTTCAACATGAAAGTTGTTCAGAACGACGAGACGATTCCGGATACGCAACCCATTCGTCCACCACACACCCCTAACATATCAAAAACGCAACTTTCCCCCTCCGGTTCATCTGTCCGAAAACACGAAACACCGGGAACACTTTCCCGGATGCGTTCCCCCTTCGTCGGTATCACCTACTACCGCGTTAGAACACATCTAGCTCTGCTTGTTGTCCTGTTATGCACTTGATTGCTACGTATTTACTGTTTCTCCCCCCTCTTCTCTCCGGTAGACCCCGTGACGATGCTGATGCCCCTGTGGTCGACTACATCACCGACGACCCCTCTCTCTCTTGCCAGAGCAACCAGGCAAGCCCCCCCCCCTTGATCACCAGATATCGCCTATTCTACTCTATACTGCTTGCATTAGAGTAGTGTAGCATGTTACCGCTTTCCGTTAATCCTATTCTGATGCATAGCCTGTCATTGTTGCTACAGTCATTGATACCTTACCTGCAATCCTAGATGCTTAGTATAGGATGCTAGTTTATCATCATTGGCCCTACATTCTTGTCAGTCTGCCTTGCTATACTATCAGGCCGTGATCACTTGGGAGGTGATCACGGGTATATACTATACTATACATACATACTATACAGATGGTGACTAAAGTCGGGTCAGCTCATTGAGTACCCGCAAGTGATTCCGACGAGGGGGCTGAAAGGACAGGTGGCTCCATCCCGGTAGAGGTGGGCCTGGGTTCCCGACGGCCCTCGACTGTTACTTTGTGGCGGAGCGACAGGGCAGGTTGAGACCACCTAGGAGACAGGTGGGCCTGGCCCTGTTCGGTGTTCGCGGATACTTAACACGCTTAACGAGATCTTGGTATTTGATCTGAGTCGGCTACGAGCCTATACGCACTAACCATCTACGTGGGAGTAGTTATGGGTATCCCGACGTCGTGGTATCAGCCGAAGCACTTCAGACGTCAGCGACGGAGCGGCGCGCGCCGAATTGGAATGGAACGCCACTAGGCTAGGTCTGCTTTCGGCCGCCCACGCAACGTGCAGGTGTGCTCAGGGCGATGGGCCTAGACCCCTGCGCGCTTAGGTTTAGACCGGCGTGCTGGCCTCTCTGTTTTGCCTAGGTGGGGCTGCGACGTGTTGATCTTCCGAGGCCGGGCATGACCCAGGAAAGTGTGTCCGGCCAAATGGGATCGAGCGTGTTGGGTAAGTTGGTGCACCCCTGCAGGGAAGTTAATCTATTCGAATAGCCGTGATCTTCGGTAACAGGACGACTTGGAGTTGTACCTTGACCTTATGACAACTAGAACCGGATACTTAATAAAACACACCCTTCCAAGTGCCAGATACAACCGGTGGTCGCTCTACCTCAGGGATATGAGGAGGGGATCGCCGGGTAGGATTATGCTATGAGATGCTATTTGGAGATGCTACTTGGAGATGCTACTTGGAGGACTTCAATCTACTCTCTTCTACTTGATGCAAGACGGTGGCTGCGAGAAGCGTAGTCTTCAACAGGATTAGTTACCCCCCTCTTATTCTGGCATTCTGCAGTTCAGTCCACTGATATGGCCTCCTTACACATATACCCATGCATATGTAGTGTAGTTCCTTGCTTGCGAGTACTTTGGATGAGTACTCACGGTTGCTTTCTCCCCCCTTTTCCCCTTTCCTTTCTTTCTGGTTGTCGCAACCAGATGCTGGAGTCCAGGAGCCAGACGCCACCGTCGACGACGACCCCTACTATACTGGAGGTGCCTACTACTACGTGCTGCCCGCTGGCGACGACCAGGAGTAGTTTGGAGGATCCCAGGCAGGAGGCCTGCGCCTCTTTCGATCTGTATCCCAGTTTGTGCTAGCCTTCTTAAGGCAAACTTGTTTAACTTATGTCTGTACTCAGATATTGTTGCTTCCGCTGACTCGTCTATGATCGAGCACTTGTATTCGAGCCCTCGAGGCCCCTGGCTTGTATTATGATGCTTGTATGACTTATTTTATTTGTAGAGTTGTGTTGTGATATCTTCCCGTGAGTCCCTGATCTTGATCGTACACATTTGCGTGCATGATTAGTGTACGATTAAATCGGGGGCGTCACACTGACGCTCCCCATTCCTCACCTCATCTAGTTGTGCCGCTTTCAATTTCGGCGGCGAGGCGGGTTGCGCCGGTGTCTAGGTGGGCGAGGGCAGAAGCGAGGCGGGCGGCGGCGGAGATAAGCTAGAGGCGGGCTGCGTAGGCGACACCATCGACGAGGCGCGGGAGGAGGTGCGTGCCACCACCGCTACCTCCATCGATATCCTCAGCGAGTGGCCCTTGTTGGGTTCGTGGTGATGCTCGGTGACCCAGGCCCTGCTCCTCTCGCTGGCTTGCGTTGCTGATACAACAGACCTCGAGCGGACACACCCTACTTTGTGCGTCCCTGGAGCTCTCGCGCCTCACCGACTATGCGGCTCACCCTCTATTCGTCTTGGGCTCACCTCCGGGCCACATATGTGAGCCGTCCCTAAGTCTCTTGTCCAGCACCGCCATCGCCAAGCACGCCGACAGACAGCTCCTCCATCATCACATGCGATCCCATGCCTAGATCCCGCCCCTCGCACATCATCGTCGTTCACCAATGCCGGCAAGAATCACGACAACCCATTATTCAGCCATTTTTTGAGTTGGTTACAAGTTCGCGAGGTGCAAGATGGCAATTTTTTTGAAAGGAGGATGACCCCCGACCTCTGCATCTTGGTGATTCATGCATCTTTTTTATTAATTATTCATAAAGACCTTATAAAGCAATACATCAGTAAGTCTAAATCCACCATCTTAGCAACACATGTTGCTACTCCTATTCACTTGATGAAGGGGTGCCGATAGTCCGAGCCGAGTACCAAACAGACCTTGTAGCAAAGCCTAACATCTAAAGCCGGAGACTCCACATCGTCAATGCATGACATGAAACGCCGCTCCATCACTAAAACTGTCCAATGGTCCCTCGAGCCAATGCACACCTCCAAGAATGACGCCCCCAAGGAGGAAAAGATACAAGAGCGCCGCCATTATCCGATCAACTGATCAAGGGTTTCCCTCGGAGGTAGCGGGGTAGTTGGGAGCTTGACCTCGATGATGCCTTCATAAAGGAAACGATGCCAAGGGCATCACTATCACCGGTTCCGGCCACCGTCCGAAGACCAGGTTTTCACCCGGATCTGTGCCAAGAAATCCATCCGACAACCTATGCGTCGTCCCGACCGCCTTCAAAGCCCCAGATCCAGCCACCTAGATCCCGCGACCATCCATCGCAACACTGCCACCATGGGAGCCCTGTCACACCAGACACTGCATGTGTGTGCCACCACTGGAGTCTGGGAGGAGGACCGCCACCCTACCACGCCAAAACGCGAGAGCCGCCGAGAGGGATCCCGCGCACCCGTCACCATCTCTCATCCAAATCACTCCGGAGCCAAAGCCACCAGATTGTCGGCGCAGATCCACCTTGGACAGGAACAACACCACGCCATGCCGCCACAGGAAGCCCGAGCTTCACCTGCCCCCTCCTTCCAGGGCCGCCGCCTCGGGATCCATGCCGAACGACGCCACCGCCGCCGTATCGCCGAGACGCCATGGCAACCGTGACCACGCGGACGCGCTGAGCGGCCAGCACCACCCGATCTTCCACGTCGTCCTGCAGCTCTGTCGCTGCCGCGGCGACTCAAATCAGGGAGAAACGCCCCGGCTGTTGGGTAACCCGCCCCACCGATCCCGACGCAGGAGGGAAGAGGTCCTCCGTCACCGTTGTCGGCTTCCTCCAACAGCGACGGAGAGGAGGACGGGGATGGAGGCTGCCCGACGGTGCGGTTTCATGGTCTCCACCGTCCTCGCCCTAGCGGGGGGTGACGCGGGGGCTGCGGACGGTTCCCATCAGGCCTCCGTGCAAGACCCCAAGTAGAAACACTATGGTTACTAGTAGGGCATTGCGGCAAATATAGCTAGCTAAATGGAAAGCATGTGGCAACTATGAAGCATGTCTACCTAGACAACTAGGGGCTGTTTGGATTGTGCCCATGCTGACCCCGCCAACGCATGAGCGAGCCCAAAAATTGGTGATGCTGCATAACTTGCCAACGCGTTGGTGAGAAAATGAACTGAAGAGTTGAATCAAGGCTTGGGGAGCCAAATAACGGGCTTCAATCCAAACACTGCCCATGTAGATGGTCAACGCCAATATTTTGGCTTGGGAGCCTCGGGCTCCCATCCAAACAGCCTCCTAGTTTCACCAATCCATAAAGCTTGACATTATGTTCATTTTTGTTTGTGCAAACGTAAATGGGTTAAGCTATGGTTACTTGTATTAATTTTGGCAAATTTAGGAAATGTTTTGTATTGCTCATATGGAAATTCATCACAAAGAATTGTCCAGCGAATGATGGCAAATTCTCACACATGCTACCATGCTTTTTGCCATGGCAAATTTGTTCTATTTCTATTGTAGGTACCATGGCATTTTTACTTTTCAGAGCGCAACAACTTTACTTACTAGAGCATGGCAGATTTATTAACTAGTTCATGGTAGCTTTATCGTAGGTAGCATGGCAATAAAGGTTTTCCCAAAGTTCAATTCAAGTTTGAACTATTTTATTTCTAAACTTAGTTGAATTGAAATATTTATATTCAAGCTATTGTTATATTTTAATATTTTTCACTCCTCAAAGATTTCCTGCCATCATTTGGAGTGTTGCACACTTACAAAAAACAGCACCGGGCGACGGGGGACAGGTTTGGATGACCGGCTCGTATCCGTATCCGAACCATTTCGTGAACAAATATTGTGTCTGTTTTGAATGTCGGTGTTGGATATGCCCTTAGCTAGGATATTAAGTTAGGTATAAAGAACATTTTTCTACTCCCTCGTTAGAGACTCCCATGCATCTTGTGTTTCCCTGCCTCCCCTTCGCACCGCCGTCAATCTGTCTCGTCTTCTGTGGTTTTACCGGAAAAAGCTTTCATCCCACTTTATATATAAAGCACCAATCAACAAGCACCCGGTACAAACACACGCCACACCACCGCAACACACGCACACACCCAGGACAGGATACAAAGACGTTGAGCGCGGCAACACCACCCCTAGCACTACCACCATGCAGAGATGAAGCTACATATGACGAACCATGCGCACCAAGGCGGCGCCTTCAAGAAGGGAACGACACTGGCGCGCCGCCACCGCCCGATCCAAGGATCAGAGTTTTCCTCGAAGCCGCATGACGGGTAATGAGAGCCGCGACGACGTCTTCAAGAAGGGAACGATCTCCGTCGCCGGTCCGTCCGAAGATACAACAAGCTTTAGGACCATAGAGGCGTGGTGGATCCCAGACTTCGTCGATGGGAGGGCTCCTACTTTATTTTTAGGTGTTTTTTTTAGTTTGTTTATGATTTGTGTCCTGCTTAGGATGGCGAGACGGCAGCGGGTCCCTGAAGATGGAATAAGGTCCTCTCCACTTAGCACTACGTGCAGGCGGTGCAACTTGCATTGTCGGAGGGCATGCAAAGGTGTTTCTTTAGCAGATCTTGCAGGATTTCGATTGGTGTTTGTCTTCGTGGATCCGGTCTTCATTTGTCTATGTTTGTGTGTCTATGGATTGTTTATGTGGTGCGCTGGTCTTTTGAGGCTTTTTTGCATGGCTCCTGTAATGGAGAGGCGATGTTGACCGTGTTCGTAGTCGTCGCTAGATGGTCTATAGACATAGGTATAATTTTTATTACTCTTGAATTCCTGATGTTTTTTAACTGATATGATGGTTGATGAATAGATCATAAATTTTTGTAAAATGAAGCTTGGATCGTAAGTTTTTTTTCCTGCATTTGTAGTTTGTACTGTGTTAATTAATTGGCAAGCAGGAGCACGGGATGGAAGCACCGTGCAATTATGCGGTCGACACGGGAATCTTATCGTGGTCGGTTTGTTTGACTAATGGACAAGAGCAAGAACATAGATAGATCTTGATACAAGTAAATTACTCGCTTAAATCGGCGTGCGTGCGTGCACACTTGACTCTCGGCAACGTAGCTGCTGGATCACATGCTCCCATGCTCGTGTCGGAGCCACTCATGCATGTCTCGTCCTAACTAGCAATCCGTCCAGCGTAGTAGTACCACTACTACACGTGAGTCGAGTGTGATACTCGTACTGTTCCCCGGGCATTTCACACGCACGCACGAACGCAGCCGCGACTGTAGAGCGCGTAGCGGCTGCCGCCCACGCCCACGCCCTCTGCGCCTGCGATGCTGACTTTCGCCCCAAGGACGACCAAAGTGTGCCGTGGACGCCTCCGTTCCCATCACCGAAAAGAAAAGAAAAGAAAATTGTGCGTCTGTCAGTCAGCGCACTCAGCGCTCAGCAGGCCCGCTCGCCACTGGTGTGCGTGGAAAGCCAGAGCCAGCCCGCCGTCTAAAGCGAGAACATTCACAAGGACGAGACGAGACGAGACGACCGACCAAGCTGCTCTGCCTCGCTTTCTTCTTTCTTGCTCCACTCCACTTCACTTGCCCACTCCAGCTCCAGCTCCAGCTCCATTCAGATTCAGCTAGCCGCTAGCTAGCTCCCCCTGCACAGAGTTTGTACGATGCGCACCACAGCGCGCGCACTGCCGCGCTGCCTCCTCCCCCTCCTCTTCGCCGGCTTCTTCTTCCTGCCACGCTCCCCGTTACCCGTCCTCGCCGCTGGGGACGTCGCCCTCGTCATCGACAAGCTGAAGCCGGCGCTGCAGGGCGCGGCGGCCGCCAACGCGCAGCTCGCCACCTGGAACGCCTCCACGCCGCTCTGCCTCTGGCGCGGCCTCCGCTGGGCCACGCCCGCGGGCCGGCCGCTCCGCTGCGACGCCCCCGGCGCGCGGGCCAACCTCTCGCTCGCCGGGGACGCCGCTCTGCTCCTCACCTCCATTCGCCTCCCCGCCGCCGCGCTCGCCGGCCGCCTCCCGCAGGAGCTCGGCGCCTTCGCGGCACTCGAGACCGTCTACCTCGCCGCCAACTCGCTCTCCGGCGCCATCCCGCTCGAGCTCGGCAACGCGCCCGCGCTGGCCGAGCTCGACCTCGCCGGCAACGCCCTCTCCGGCGCGCTCCCGCCCTCCATCTGGAACCTCTGCGACCGCCTCGCCGAGCTCCGCCTCCATGGTAACGCTCTCACCGGAGCGATTCCCGCGCCGGCGGGGCCTAACGATACGTGCGACCGTCTCCGGATTCTTGACCTCGGCGCCAACCGCTTCTCCGGCGACTTCCCGGCGTTCCTGACGGGCTTCCGTGGCCTCCAGCGCCTCGACCTCGGCGGCAACCGCCTCGAGGGACCCATACCGGAGTCCCTCGCCGCGATGAGAGGCCTCCAGATGCTCAACCTCTCGTATAACAACTTCTCCGGTCAGACGCCCCCGGGCTTCGCGGCCTCGAGCTTCACCGCGGAGTCGTTCCTCGGAAACAGCCCGGCGCTGTGCGGCCCGCCGTTACAGCAGCCGTGCGTGTCCCCTTCGGGCCTCAGCTCCGGCAGCGTCGCGGGGATGGTCATCGGCCTGATGGCCGGCGCCGTCGTGCTGGCGTCGGTGTGCATCGGGTGGGCGCAGGGGAGGTGGAGGAGGAACAGGGTGAGGCGAGCGGCGGAGGAGGGGGTGGAGACGGAGGAAGGCGGCGAGGGGAAGCTGGTGGTGTTCCAGGGCGGGGAGCACCTCACGCTGGAGGAGGTGCTGAATGCGACGGGGCAGGTGGTGGAGAAAGCGAACTATTGCACGGTGTACAAGGCGAAGCTGGCGGACGCCGGCGGCAGCATCGAGCTCCGGCTGCTGCGCGAGGGGAGCTGCAAGGACGCGGCGTCGTGCGGGCCGGCCGTGCGGCGCATCGGGCGCGCGCGGCACGAGAACCTGGTGCCGCTCCGGGCATTCTACCAGGGCCGGCGCGGCGAGAAGCTTCTCGTCTACGATTACTTCCCGCACCGGACGCTCCATGACCTCCTCCACGGCGGCGGTCTTGAGAGCAGGCCGGCGCTGACTTGGCCGCGGCGGCACAAGATCGCGCTGGGCGCGGCGCGCGCGCTGGCGTACCTGCACGAGAGCCGACACGGGGACGCGCCGGTGGTGCACGGCAACGTGCGGTCGTCGAACGTGCTGGTGGACGAGTACTTCGTGGCGAGGGTGACCGAGTACGCGGTGGTGGGCAGGCTGCTGGTGCCGTCGGCGGCGGAGGCCGTGCTGTCGGCGGCGAGGGCGGACGGGTACTGCGCGCCGGAGCTGCAGACGATGAAGCGGTGCGCGCCCCGGACGGACGTGTACGCGTTCGGGATACTGCTGCTGGAGCTGCTGATGGGGAGGAAGCCCTCCCCGGCGGCGAACGGGGGCGACGGCCTGCCGGCGCTGGTGAAGGCGGCGGTGCTGGAGGAGACGGCCGTGGAGGTGTTCGACCCGGAGGTGGCGAAGGGCGTGCGGAGCCCCGCGGAGGAGGGCCTGGTGCAGGCGCTGAAGCTGGCGATGGGCTGCTGCGCGCCGGTGGCGGCGGCGAGGCCGAGCATGGCGGAGGTGGCGCGGCAGCTCGAGGAGAGCCGGCCCAAGGCCAGCCGGTCGGCGCTGTACAGCCCCGCCGAGACGA